GATGAGGAGTCCGGGCAGTGCGTTATGGCAAATGTAGTTTGTGAGGGAATGACAATAGTCTGATGTGGAGTGCCCTCTGGTGGCTCTCAAGGGCACTCCAGCTGGTGACGTTACAATTCTGATGGATAGATAATTTGTTTGTCATCAGAGAGGAAATTTGTTTCCACCGTGGATGGGATGTTACATACACCTTACTTATTAACATTTAAAACAATCATAGACATATTAAAAAAAAAAAAAAAAACCAGATCATACAACAAATGCGAGAGCATGGATGACAAATCAATGGCTCATTTCTATACAAAACGTATATAAGGAACAAAACTCTTATATTATATAGCTGGCCTTTTTGCACATAGGTATCTATACCTGCGGCCAGAAGGAAGGGGAATGAAATACAGATTAAGTGGATGGTCTGGAATGGATTATGTAATGCCAAGATATCTAAAATGCACCATCCTTTCAACCATCTCTCCATTAATGATAATACTGGAAGGATGGATCAGTGTTTTGGAGGAGCTAAAAAAACAGTTCCTAAAGTCTTTGAAATATTAAGGTGGAGAAAGGTATCATCGCACCATGTACTAAAATATGCTATGGTGCGTTGATAGTCCAAAAAAAGAAAAGAAAAATCATTTGCAATTGGCAATTCATTATCATGTGACCTACCGGCATCAGTTCAGTTCAACCTTTCACAAATCATCTCCCATGGCCTCATCCATAGTAAAGTGTCCATCGTATGCACACTTCAGAATCTCACCGGAAGTCATCCGGGCACTTTCTGCCTACTATGAGTACTGTGAATTCTGACATACTTCTTTTGTCAAATACTGTTTTTCGCCTACTATAGGGCTAGTAGGGAAATATGTGATTTTGGATGCAGCCAAGGTTTGAAAGTGCATCTGAAAATGTGTGCAACAGATATTAGATAGCCTATTTGGTTGTGTTTGGTTGTAACTACACCCCATGGAAATCAGTAAAAATATAATATGTGAAATAATGTGAAATTCTTATGTCATACCAATAAACATAATGTAAAAAGACACAGTCTTTGTGTAATTATGCAGCAGCCTATATTTCTTGGGTTGCTAAAATTGTTTTGCTGTGGATGTTGTGTAAGGACTTTAATCAGTATAAGTGGAGACACAAGTCATCCGTCAAAATATTCAGAATATTTTGTGTGCTTATGTGCCTGTGCTCACAGGCAGGTTTGAGCTTAAAGTGGATAGCATTCAAGGGTATTTCGTTGAAAGCGTATAATGAAAGACCCTCTCCAAATCTGCTCTTAGCAGAAGGATGAGCGGAGAGAGGATGCCAGAAGGTTGGAGTGAAATTGAGTGGTTATAACAGAACAGTACCACCCCCTCCTGGACAGAGAACTTCAATTATCAAGCATTAACTCGTTTTAGAGAAGATTCACTCTGAGAGATGAGTTTATTTACAGTAAATGCAGTGATCCTTGCCTGACACCTATGATTTCTTTCTATGATTTCACCTTAATGACCACTCTCCAAACGTAATCCAAGCCGAATGTGTAGTTACTGATGACCTCATTTGTCTTTCAATGTTGTTTTGTCTTCACATCTTTCATCACAGTTATAAATCATTTTTAATCCTAAACTGTAATCAATGTAGGAGTGGTGCATGTCTACTACTTGAGTTTTTGGCATGCATATAAAAATACTGATTTGCATATGTGTGCAATATATTATTCATGATGGGGAAAGCAGCGAGATTCATCATTATTAACATATTTACTACAACTAACTGCAAGACCAGTGGACACGTTGTCAGCACCAATGGAAATCATAAGCCCATTGAAAGTAGTGGGACCCTTCATGAGATATTTTTAGCCGGAGACATTTTATGATGAAAAGCTGAACTTTATCCTATTTGGTTTGTGACATATACTGTAGCTGTTCCCGTACATTGCCTGCTCAGTGGAATCTTCAGTTATTGAAGTGAGGTTAGGGGTGTCACCTCTAAGCCTACCTCCAATCCAAACCTTTATTTAGCCACTGAATGAGGAGATAAACCAGTATATTGGCCACAAGGATGAGTGTGGGGGAACCATGATAAACAGCCCTCAGCAGATTCTTGTTTCAATTAATATACAGAAACACATGGTTTTGGTAAAGGTTCCAATTATTCTGTACTGTGTAAGCCATTTGGTATCATTCTGTGTAAGGCTGTACAAATGTTCTTGTCCTTGGTTAGGTGACAAAGAAGATAAATAAGCAGGAAATGCTGCACCTTTCAATAAGAATGTTCTTAAAACCCTCTTTATTATAATTCCATTTGCACTACTGCATACTGTACTGCATTGCTAATCACAAACTGTATATTACTTCTGCGAATTGTATACTACTTCTGCGAAGAGGTGAATATGTGTACTGTGGTTATTGCACTTTCTTTTTACCTAAGTCCTCATACTCTGCATAGTATGTTGTATATTGTTTACTGCCTGTATTTGTGTCCCATGTATTCCGTGTATATTGCAATATGTGTGCTTCGTTCATACTCTACCTGTGTCTATTGTATTGTAGGTTATTATCCATCCATTATCCATTAACTTGTTATCCATACTGTCATGTTGTGGAGATTGCACCAAAGAATTGTGAATAAAGTGATTTGATTCGATTTTATTGTAGGGCAAGTTGTCATGTCTTTTAAATGTTATAAAATTATAAAATGTATTAGTTACCTTGTTTGTTGGATGAAAAAAATGGTTTGATCTTTTTGTATGTTATAACATACTATATTTTTTCATCAATTTCTGTTTCAGTGTGTTTTATATATGTTTCGGCATATATGTTTGATGTTTTTTGAAAGAAGTCTCTAATGCTCACCAAGGCTGTATTTATTTGATAATAAACACAGTAAAAAAACAGTAATATTATGAAATATACAATTTTACAATTTGGTACTCAAGAAATTCTTATTATCAATGTTAAAAACAGTTGTGCTGCCTTATATTTTTGTGGAAACCATGATATATATTTTTCAGTGTTATTTGAAATTTTTATAGAAAGTTCAAAAAACTGAATTTATTTGAAACAGAAACCTTTTGACCAATTTAATGGATTCTTGCTGATTAAAAAATCATTCTGACCCTAAACATTTGAACAATAGTGCACAATATATTGAACAATATATTTACTTGTATTTTATTTTATATTTTTCCGAAAGGAAAATAAGCTAAACTTGTGTTGCAATTGTGTCTGTATCCTGGGGCTGTGTTGCTTTTAATTTGATCTTTTCATATTCTCATAATGAATGTTTTGTCATGATATAATTTGTAGGTAACCTAACCATGTTGTTTAAATGTATTGTTTATTACTCTGCCGCTTGTAGCAATGGACCACCAAGGGCACAGACCCACCACTAACCAAAGAGACAAGCGTGGGATTGGTGTTATTTTTTGTTCTGGTGCTGCATCACCACAGATATATTGCAGCAGCTCTGAGGAAATTAAAGGGCGGGCTTCTTGCCAGTCTATTAGTCCCACTGTCAACTTGTATTCTACAGTGAAAGACAAAACTACATAATGAAGCATGAATGTGCTTGATGTTACAGCAGTGATTCTAATACAAGCCTTTTATTTGTCCCTAGAGGTTTATTTGGAAAGAAAAAGCAAAATCCCAGTCTGTCAGCAGCAAATTTTCTTCCCCAATATGAGTCGGTGGGCCACACAGTTCGGTTTGATGCCATGTTCTATACTATAAACTATTATCAAGCCATGATTTTGCATGTGGACTTTAGTATTTAGTAGGCTATACGGTACAATGGTAGCAGGTAGCCTACTAAAATCGTTGGACGTGTCCACCTCGCGGCGCCCTTCCCCAGCTCTGCTGCATCGGATAGGTCACTATATCGAATCAGCACGTTTGGCTTCAGAGTTCAGACCCCGAGGACACTTTATGGTCACAGTGGAAAGTAGGCTATTGCATATCGCTCACAACTTCTAGCTTATTTATAGCCTATACATCATCATAAAGATATCTGCTCTCGAGCGATTACTGACGCTGGTTAAATTCTTTCCCCGGATAGAATAAAATGGTCTCGTGAACCTTGGTAATTGCTAGTTTGTTACAACGGTACCGTAAAACAATATTCTTAAAAATTAACAGTTTAGGCCTATAACTTTAAAAATTAAGAATAGCTATTTAGCCTATGCCCTTATTCGATCTGAATTAACTCATACGCGTTTGGTGTGTAATGGTAGGCCTACTAATGACCCTTGATGACATTTTTCAGTAGCCTAGTTTAGGCTACTGAAGGATTTCCTAACGCAACAAATTTGTTTTGAATTAAAATGTTCAAATGCTGGCTGGTTTCATAATGACAATAAAGTCAAGATAGGGTCACAGAACATGTAAAAAACAAATAAACTTTAATTTGTTTAATTAAAAAACTGTCTATAAGCCTATAATAGAACAACATCAGTCTCAGGCTGAAGTATAGGAATGTGCACGAATGAAACGCTATTGCTTATAATTTCATGTTTTGGCTTGCCAAACCATTGCCACTTGGGCTGAGTCAGCGGATAGAGATTACTGTGAAATTCTATGTGATCATCAAACCACAGATCTAAGCTGAGTTTTAATATACGTTCTGCCAGCACATGGTCACAGTGGCATTTTGAACATTTGCACGGAATGTTGTTAAGAGCAAGCTCGCCATAGCCACATTCACAGCTCATTATATTGATTTTCTCCTTGTATGGAGGCTAAATCACGCTATCTTTAATTAGCCTAAATTTCCTGGCATTTATATTTTATTTATTTTTTACATTTATTATAGAGAGAAATTTAAAAAGTCTGGGGACATCTTAGGGGACGGATTTTTTTTTTATCTCATTAAACAGTCACAGATATTTTGGTGATCAATATTTCTAGCATGGTAAACATTCTGTGAGAGGAATAATTAAAACATGTCTCGTGTAGTTACTGTAAGTATAGAGTCAAGCTCGGTAGTCACGAGGACACATCGGTGGTGACGTCACTCTATCTGCCCGGGGAACAATCAGAGGCAGCGCGAGCGCCACTTGAATGGATTGTTGTCGGTGAATAACTTTGCTCCTGGTTTCTCCCCTTTAGCCCTCCGCTCGTATTTTCCGCATTTCCCCCCTAATATTTACGAGTCCAAATTGCACTAAATGGTATATGAAGCACTTAACACCACTCGGAAAAGTGTGTTAGCAACAAACCCCTGAGGTCTGTGTGTGCGGCTTAACTTTTGCAAAGTGGGTAAGTGCAGAAATCTAAACACTCCTTTTTCCCGTGTATTTTTTCCTTCCAATTTTATGCTATTCCAAATGGAACTCTGCTGAACGTTAGAACGAAACATTTCAGACTTCACGCTGCCAAATAAAATAGTTGTAATTTCGCTTCAATGTTACATGTAGGCTACATGCCAGTGTTGTTTACAATGATCATTCCTGTCAGCTATATAGTTGCGCACAATGTTGCCATTGTTCCTCAGTGAAGCGCGCGGTCAGTCCTGTTTGCTTTTCTTATCTAGTTGGAGTCTTTCTGAACACTCCATCTAAACTTTTCACTTTCCCGTGGAGACTCCTCAGGAAGATCCAAGAATATCAGTGACCCCAGTTTATGTGTATTTATGGAGTTTATAGAGTGTCTGGACGGAAGTGTCTGGAAGGAACTAGAAAATGCTCTGACATTTTAAAATTTGCACAGTGAACATGCATTAGGTTCAGTACTAATGCCACTGGAGCCACTGTAACTTGATCTACCCTGTTTTGTCTCCAAAAGCTTGGTCCTAGTTTTGCCATTAATAACAGTGCTGCTGACATGATCCGTAGTTTCCGCCGTATTGAGCAACACATTGCTTTGGAGTATGTGTGTATGACTAACTAAAGTCTGATTTTATTCAGGTGTCTTGGGATCTGTTAAAATCTGAATGGACTAATATGAAGAGCCTGAAGGCAAAGTTTAGGAAGAGTGATGTAAGTATGACCTAGTGTACTTTCAGCTGGTTTGCGAACTGAATGGTGTTGTGCTTGTATTGAGAATCATATAAACAGTCCCTATTTGAAATAAAAAGAAAATGTAACACCTTATTCTTTCTCATGCACAACATTAGTTGTCTATATTTTCATTCATTTGGATTCTGAGGTGAAGTTTCATAGTCCGCTTCTGTGAATGTTCTAGACTGCATGATGAGTGAATGACTCAGAATCATACATGTCTGCAGCTTTATTATGATGACTGAGTCATAACTGGGAGTATAATTTTAAGGCAGAGAACTTCTGCACTCCCGAAGAAAGAATGAAAAAACACTCCTCAGAGGAGCTTCCTGCCACCAGATGTGATTCAGCAATCATTTCTAAGCCTATAATAGAACAACATCAGTCTCAGGCTGAAGTATAGGAATGTGCACGAATGAAACGCTATTGCTTATAATTTCATGTTTTGGCTTGCCAAACCATTGCCACTTGGGCTGAGTCAGCGGAGAGAGATAACTGTGAAATTCTATGTGATCATCAAACCACAGATCTAAGCTGAGTTTTAATATACGTTCTGCCAGCACATGGTCACAGTGGCATTTTGAACATTTGCACGGAATGTTGTTAAGAGCAAGCTCGCCATAGCCACATTCACAGCTCATTATATTGATTTTCTCCTTGTATGGAGGCTAAATCACGCTTTACCGTTTTTATCTTTTGTAATTGGTGGGTGTTTGCTTGCACAACAATGTGGTTGCCTAGAAATAATACTTCAACATAATTTTATAAAGAAATCTATGTCTGTCTTTGTGCAAGATGCGGCATTGGGAACCATAGTATGGCATTGTATAGTCCAGCCAGTTGGTTGTTACTCACTTTTTATATAGAAAAATATTTTTATTAATACAAATGAAAAGGAAACTTCCTCTTTAAGTTTTTGGTTTTGATTCCTTTTAGTTGTATTTTTTCATCACTTCTGCTTGTATCAGTTGTAACCAGTGCATTCACCAATCAAAAGTCTTGTTTCAGTACTTTGCCATACAGGGTGTTTTCTGGAAAAAGAACTAATCAAGAAAGAACAAGAGAAACTAAATATCCTCCTGGTTCTATTTTGGGTTTTGTGTGTCAGTCCAGAACTGTACAGGAATTTTCATGTAAGGCCAGGCTTTCATTCCTGTGCAAAACAGGAGATCAGAACTGCCAGGATAAATACTTTTACAAGAGTGTCTGATTGCCAAGTTCTTGTAATATGTGATGTTACTCTACCAGCACTTCATGTGTTTGTAGTCCCATTTGAACCATTCTGGTGTACCCCATAACATATTGCATAACAAAGAGCGAGAGATCGTGCTATTATTACATTTATTATTGGTATTTGTGGCATGTTTGAGAGAATCATAAAACGCTTTTTCTTGCTTCTTGCTCAGAGTTGCATGAAATTCCAGTCCTTGTGTGTAAGGCACATGGCGTTAAAAACAGCTTGTTGTAGACCAGGTTTATTGCATCTCAGTAGGTTAGCGGCACTATTGACTTTTGTCATTCACTTGCAGGAATAGACCTTTTGTGCACACAAATCAATAGCAGACACATATCCAAATTTGCTATGTTTACATGCTAAGAACTGTCTTTTATCTGCTCATGGATTGACTCACTTTGGGTCTGCTTAAGTCATTGAGAATTTGGAAAACCTCCACTCCTGCTTGGGGTTCTTTTCCCACGTTAGCATCTAGATGTAAGTTGATGTTTTGCAGACTGCTGCTGACATTACTGTATCTCTTTATTTATTAGCTTGTTTCTAACAAGCTTTTTAATCAATTAACATTATTATCTAATGTTGTAAATATGGTTCCTGTTTTTCTTATTTAATCTCATTTTGTTTATTAACTTTATTTCAGTGATGCAATGGAAAAGTTGTATCACAAATTGTTGGATAACATTTAAGCGCACATTGTGGGCTGAATGCACTTTTAATCGCTTAAGAGACAGTTTTGCAGATTGAAAATTGCATTTGTAATTTGCTATCTGTTGATGTTATATGGGCTTTTGTCTAGATTTAGGCCTATCTAGTTATCCTGAGTATTTTAGGTTAAGTTGACACATGAATAAACAGGAAATGGAAATGAAAATTGCCTAGATGATCCTTATTTAGCACGATTGTGTCATTTTCGCTTTAGATCAGATGAACTTTCAAGTGTGGCTTTCCAGTCTCATGAAAAGTCATGATAATTTGTAGGAGACTGCAAAAGCATAAGAAATCAGAAAGAAACAGTACAAAAAGAAACTGCCCAAACCTAAACCCAACTCCACAACCCAGCCTCAAATATGTTCTGTGGATCTTTAAATTAAATATTTGGAGAAAGCCAATAGTCACCAAAATTGGTTGCCAACAATCTTCAAAACATCATATTTTGTGAAGAAAAAACTGTGCGACAAGTTAAAGGTGTTTCGGTTCATTTTTGGGACACGCTCCACAAAAAGTTCACAGAAAGGAAACCGAGACGGCAGAAAGCAGTATCTTGTTTGTTTTCTTTATTTATAGTAAAACCCCTTAACTGTTAAAAGGACTAGATATCGCTGTGGACATTCAAACTGATTTTTTATTATGAATATAGGACTGACCTGAAGGAAAATGCTATATCTACTGTAAATGCAGGTAGTACACTCGCTTACTCAATCTCTCACAATACTCTACTCTATAAGCTTCAATGAACAATATCAATGTGAATGTGTTTAAGTTGCTAAGAGTGGTTGCTAGGGGTGTTGTGTAGTAATAGATAGAATCTTTGGGTGAATCGGTCATAGCCGTGTTTTATCGTGAATAAAACACAGCTATTGACCAATCAGAATCAAGGACTGGAACTAACCGTTTTATAAAAAAAGTTACGGAATTTAAATAATAGCCTATGTATGTATGTAGTACAATCTGTTGTAGTTTTTCCCTCTTTTCCACCTCGCTTTAAAATTGCTTATGAAAGCCCTGTGGCTGTGTGCATTTTATATCGAATTAACAGCAATTTCGTGGCGGCAATTGCTTGAATGCTGGGTTCATTATTCTTCTTAATGAAAACCACATCAAAACAGTACAATGACAAACTCGCTTGTATTAAACATAGAACTTTTATTAACAAAACGAATAAGCATAGCATACACCATGCTATGCAGGGAACTATTAGCATTGGGTTTAAATCCAAAATATTCCCAAATAAGCACTTTTATATTTTGCTTTGAAACCAAATCTTATGCCAGCGTCTTGTCAGTGAGCTCGCCTCACTCGTCACGTGATAAATGAAATCTGACTCCTGCTGCTGATCTGTGCTACGACTCTCGTTTCGGCTCACGCTGAATTAAGTTAACGCGTTCAGTTTTTAATTGTAATGTAATGCTCTCTAACTAAACTAAATAATTGTATTACTATAAAATCAAAATGACAGTGGGCAGGGGTGGACAAGTGATTTAATCGGTGACGTGTGTGGTTAAACACTGTGTAACACCGGTAACACTGACTATTGCAGCATGCCTTGTCACAATACTGTAACGTTATGCTGGTTTAACTTCATAGAGTCCATAATTTTAGCAAACATTATGTGTGGCTCACATTAACGATCAGGTCAAAATGTTAATATAAAGCTAAATGTGTTAAAAAAACATAATAGTTGTTAATTTCTTTTTCTCTACCAAGCCTGTTCCCTTAAAGGGGTCATATAATGGTACATGCACTTTTTCAAGTTGATTGTACTGAAATGTGTGTTGGCAGTGCCTGTACACAACCATCATATAATGATAAAAATCCATCCAGTGTTTTTGTTTTAATCTCCTTATGTTTTTCCCTGCCTCAAATCGAGCCGTTCGACCGTGTGACGTCACACGGTCGGACGCCCCTCCCACGATTGTTGATTGACAGCAGCGTTTCAACACAGACCCGCCCTGAGCGAGCTGTCATCATAGTCCGCTATTGTTGATACGCTGGAGCAGAATGGCGTCTAAGCGATTGTGGTGTTCTGTTCTTGGGTGTAATAACGAACACAGCAGTCATTTTGATGTTCCTAAATCCGAACAGCTGAAGACGCAGTGGCTGAGTTTTGTTTTCGAAGGGAATATTCCCCACGAAAATTAGCTGGTTTTGCTAAGAAGCTGCTCCTGAAAAAAGAATCTGTACCAACTATTCATGTCCCTGCTGGACCTCCAGAAGAAGTGAGTTTAAAATTTTATTAACCTTTATATTAATCTTTGCAAATTGTTTGCACGCTTGACGATGAATGCGGCTGAGGTTTACACTCAGGGTAACGTTACATTACGGCATGTTTCCTATGTACGACGTTCTCAATATAATTCATAATCCCACGTTTATAATGAACAACACGTTATGGTTATTGTGTTATTACAAACTGAGTACGTATACATCAGTAAACGCATAGCGTTCGTACATTTCACTAAGTTACTCTAACGTTACCCTGCGAGTAAACAAAGATAGATCAAAGTGACATTGTTTACCAACCATTCAGAAACGTCCTGTTCAAGCCTTAATTGTCGAACTTCTTTGCGGCCTTCATCTTGTTCCGTGTGCGACTCCGGTTCAAACTGATACGGTTGCACAGATGTGTCCTCAGAGACTCCCGCTGCCATTCTTTCTCCAAAATATACTCTCAACTGTTGTCAAGGTAACACTCCACATGCGTTGTCAAAATGCCCGCAGAACAGAGGGGCGGAGTGAGCGAAGCTCATTATCATTTAAAGCCATATGCACTGAAACGGCGTGCTGAAAACAGAGCTGTTTTTGACCAGGTAAAATGAGTGTTTTCTTACAATACTAACGAGAAAATGCCCGCAGAACAGAGGGGCGGAGTGAGCGAAGCTCATTATCATTTAAAGCCATATGCACTGAAACGGCGTGCTGAAAACAGAGCTGTTTTTGACCAGGTAAAATGAGTGTTTTCTTACAAAATGCCCGCAGAACAGAGGGGCGGAGTGAGCGAAGCTCATTATCATTTAAAGCCATATGC